GGGTTTGAACTGCCAGCCTTCTGGTTAGCAGTCAAGTGCCTTAGGCACTATGCTACCAGAGCTCCGATATATATATATATATATCAAGAGCCAGGCTGTGCTGTGTGCTGGGAGCTAATCCCAAACCTTGGAGCCTTTGACCCTCCAGAAGCTTTAGATCAGAGGGCATCAGAATCATTTGAGGAGCTTTTTCAAAGTACACTTGCCTGGGCCCTCGTCATGTTTATTCTGAAAAAATACTCCAGGTAATTCTAATGCACTTATCTGAATGACCCCAACAAACACAGCAGGTCCATTTTAATAAGTCAAATAGCAGGCAGAAGAAAATGTCTGGTAAGAGTGCTGTCCCCTGCCAGCTCTGGAACACCCAGTGGAGAGAGTGCAAACTCTGGAGCCATGGAAACCTTGGTCTGAATCAGAGCTCTCCCATTAATAGAATTGTGGCCTTGGGCATATTCTTTAACCTCTCTGACCCTTGGTTTTTTGTTTAATTTGTAAAATACAAATAACCGACAGGGTTGCCGTGAGGAGTAAATGACATGGCATGTACAGCGCAGCAGCACCATACACCTCAACAAATGGTAGTTCCCCTCTCCTTATCTGGATCCACCCTGGGTGGATTCTGTTTTGCAAATACCAATTACATTTTGTTTTGTGGAAACAAAGGGGGTCTATGATTCTACCTCTCAGAACTCCCAACACACACTCTGCATACACATCCAGATGAGTTGCTGGCAGGGCCCTGTGCCATTCTTCCATTTGCCCAGTAAATGTTTATTGAAGGCCAACCACAAAAGAGGCCCTGGGGTCTCACCCAGCATGGGGCACATCTAGGTCCTGGGTACCTGGAGTAAGTCTGCTCGGTTCAGAGCACTGGCTGCCACCTTGAGGAGGACTTCACCCTCTCTAGGGCTCGGTTTGGGCACCTCCTTCAGGTAAAGGTTTTCTGGTCCTCCTGGCTTGTCAAAGTGCACAGCTAACATCGTATGTTCTCTGAGGACACAGGTTAGAAAAAGGGAGGAAGCCCTGAGCTTCTTTCAGAAGCACAGCCTCCAAGCCAACATTTCAGCGCCCTCTGCAGGCCAGCCGGCCTCCCTTTGTTAGTCTCAGCAAGAACTGGCTCCCGCCCCGCGCCCTTCCTTGGAGGTCCCCTGCCGCCTCCAGAGTGATCCCACACAGAAGAGAGAGACTGAACGGGGTGAATGGGAATGGCCGTTTGATGTAGTAGAACAGGAAAACATTGAAGACTGTTAGGCAAATTATACTCCATCCGAGTTGGGGACCCCCTCCCCCCCACGACCCCAGGTCACTTGAGCCCGTGTGATTCAACCTGCAATGCGCTGAGCTCCTCTCCTCTGCTCCTTGTAGCGCTGTGCGGCCCTGGACTTTCTCCCGAGTCCTTGTAGCAGAAGCCTAGAGCCCTGGGTTTGCCTCGGGCAGGATAGGAATGGACTGCTGGACTCTCCGCAGCACGGAGGGTGGGGCTGACTAGAACCAGCCTTCTCCTTCTCCCTTTCTTAACTTCCTCTTTTAAAATATAAAGCTTGTGGTTGTTGTTAGTTGCTGTCTCTAGTGACATGCAAATCAGATTTTTTTTTTTTCCATTGTGGAAAACTCTCAGCTTTGCATGGAATGCTATTCCAGCCCTCAAGGCAGGGAGAGAAAAATCTCGCTCTCTCATGGGAAACCAGACCCAGTCTTTTGGCTGGCTTGTGATCAGTCCATTTTCATTGAGGCCAGGCTTTTAGCCCACTTACTCTATAGATCTGGTATCCTGCCCTATGGGCAGGCATCTTGAGTGTAGGTAAGCAGGGTGCTGCTGAGGAAGAAGTTGGCTGCTAAAGGAGAAGAGTGAGAAGAGAAATGGGTAAAAAGCAATCCTAGAATCCTTCTCACTTCTCCTGACCTTCCTGAAGAACAGAAAATAAGATCTGAACAAATGGAAAAACGCAGTGTTTTTGGATGAGAAGAACCAACTTAATATATAAATTCATGGTAAATTTAATTATAATTCCAATAGACTATTTTTTTAATTGGATAAAGTAATGTTTAAGTTTATGTAGAAGAATAAGCATCCATGAAATATATGATAAAGAATAGTGAGGAAAACTTACATTACTAGATATCAGAAAATATTATAAATAATAATGGTAATAACAATAATTAAGTAATAAGTGATAATAATAATAAAATAATAAGTATGGTACTTGCTTATGAGCAGTTTGTCCCAAAGACATAAAAAACACCAATATGTAAGAACATATTCCAGAGATGTTTATTGTAGCATTGATCATAGTGACAAAAGTCTAGAAACAAAGTAGATCCCATCCCTAGGGGAATAACTAGATAAGTGAAGAATACTGTGCATCCATTTGAGAAGCAAACCAGATCTATGGAAGTTGACTCACGCAGCTGCAGGGGCTGACGAACTCCAGATTGTCAGGCAGTCTAGCAGGCTGCTGACTTCTGAGGCTGACGAATCCAAGATTGGCGAGTAAAATGACAGATTGTTGGCTCACAGGCTATGAAGGCAACAAATCCAGGATTGGCAGGTAACATGGTAGGCCACTGGTTCACGTCCAGGAACTGGAGATGATGTCGGGCCAACTGCTGGATCCAAAATGAGCAAAAAGCCAGAGACCTTTCCCAAAGCTTTTCCATATATACTGGAAGCAGGCTATACCTGAAGATAACTTCCTGTCAACTGATTGGCTGCTCATAGCAGATTTCATCATGGAGGTGAGATTACATTATATCCAATCTCGTCATGGGGAATAACTGCATCATAACCGCTTAGAATCATGGCCCAGTGAAGCAGACACATAACGAACATTAACTGCCACATCTTTATATGTATTTTTTATTTCTCTTAATCATGAAAAGCTTTCTGAGTTATCTAGTGCTGCTGTAACAGAAATACAAGCGGATGGCTTTAACAAAGAGAAATTTATTCTCTCACATTTTATGAGACACAGTTCAAATGCATCCACTGCTGTGGAGTCAGATTTGACTCATAGCGACCCCTCCTTGGGTTTCCAAGGCAGTATCACTACGGAAGTAGATTGCCCAACCTTCCTTCTGAGGAGTGGCTGGTGGGTTTGAACTGCCAACCTTCTGTTTAGTAGTCAAGCGCCTTAGGCACTACACCACCAGAGCTCCCATTTAGGAGACTAGAAGTCCAAATTCACAGTGCCAGCTCTAGGGGAAGGATTTCTCTCTGTGTGTTTCTTGGTCCTAGGAGGATCCCAGCACAGGGACCCTGGATCCAAAGGACACATTCCGTTCCCGGCTCTTTCCTGGTAGTAGTAGGTCCCCTCTCTCCTAAAATTTCTAAAATAAGAAAAAAATTCAGGTAGACTGTTACCTTTATGGCCTCAGTGTACCATAAATCCCTGTAACTGCACCCCTATGTAGTCCTCTCATATATCGACTTTGGGCTTGACTATTGACTTGCTTTGGGCAATGGAACAATGAAAAGTGATTTTTTTGGTGGGCTTACCCTCTCTTGATGTTGGAAACTTTTTGACCATCCCAGCTGAGGTGTTCTAAACCAGTAGTAGGCCCAGATGATGATATTCTAACAGATTGTAGCCACATGAATAATCCCAAGTGAGCCCTGGTGGTGTAGTGGTTAAGCACTTGCCTGTTAACTGAAAGGTTGGTGGTTTGAATCTACCAGCTGCTCTGCAGGAGAAAGACCTGGTGTTCTGCTCCAGTGGAGATCATAGACTTGGTAACCCTATGGGTTGTTTCTACTCTGTCCTATAGGATTGTTATCAGTTGGAATCAACTCAACGGCACACAATGACAAAACCCACACTCACTAACACACATGCACACACACACACATTCAGGCAGACTGAGTCTGATCAAATTGTTGAAAGAACTGGTTGCAAATAAGACAGTTGTTTTAAGCCACTAATTACTGAGGTGGTTTGTTATATGGCAATAGATACCTGATAAATTCTAAAAGGTCAGGGATAGAGGGATAGTTAAGCTGTCTATATAATATCTCATACCACTGGTAACATTCTATTATCTGCTTTCCTTCCCCACCAGTCTGTGGAGTAATGTAGTATCTTAGTCACCTTGTAGTTTTCTAACATTTAATAAGATGAACTTTAGTGTCTTGGGCAAGAGAACTCTCTATTTTCATAAAGAAACCTTATTTTATTTCACACTGGAAAACAAGATTTCTAGTAATATAGGGTTGTTATGAGTTGGAATTGACTCGATGGCAGTGGGTTTTTTTTTTTTTAATGTTTTTCACTGAACTTTTGTGTGTGTGTGTGTGTGTGTGTGTGTGATTTGGGTGAAAATCTACAGAGCAAATTCACTTTTCATACAGCAGTTCACATATACTTTGTTTCATGACATTGACCACAAATCACCACAATGCAACAGCTCCCCTCCCACTTCCTCTCCATAGTCACCTCTTCCCTGTGTCCATCCCTCCATGCACTCCGGCCCCCTGAACTGTCTCCCTGTGCATAAACAGCCCTCATTTCTCCCATGATTGTTCTCTCCAAGGAGTGTATTTAGCTCAGGTAAACATTCAACTCATATGCCTGTCTTTTGCTTGGCAGGAAGCCACAGGTGTGGGTTCAATTCTAGACCTGAAGGGCAGTTAGGGTCCATAGTCTCAGTGGTTCCACCAGGCTCTATCAGACCAGCAAACCTGGTCCCCTCTTTTTTTTTTTCCAAATGCTTTTGAGTTTTGTTCCACATTGTTCTCCCTCTCTATCCAGGGTCTCCTACATAGATCCCCCTCCGAGTGGTTGCCATTGGTAGCCGGGCACCATCTAATTCTTCTAGTCTCATAGTTGTATAGGCTGAGGAGTGCATGGTGTCCCAGTCACTAGGACTAATTCTTTCCATGAATCTTTGGTTTTCTTCATTCTTCTTTGCTCTGGATGAGGAGAGACCCATCATTACATCTAGATGACTGTTTGCAGGCTTTAAGATCCCAGTCGCTACTTGCCAAAGTAGGAGGTGGAACAATGTTTCGTGTAGTATGTTATGCCAATTGAGCTTGATGTCCACTGAGACTATGGTCCCGAGCCCACAGGTTCAACTACTTGGTCCCTTTGGGTAGCTGGCTGTGACCAAGAAGTGACTACAACCTTATCCCTTGTCAGCTCTGCTATACACCTGGGAATTCAGATCCTACAAATACACTTATAGGACCATTGTCTGCCAACCCTATATATGGTCTTGGGCACACTCCCCTCTGCATAGACATACCTAATAGTTCAGACTGTCCACCCATCTATCCACCCACATACCCATGTTTGTCTTCACTGACAACGCAGTACTGTATGTGCAAAAGGGTTCGTCTTTGTTGTCTGTACTGCCCATGTACCTCTCTATGTCTTCCTCTTCCTTAGTGCCACCATGTTGATCACTCACATTTGGTACATTGCCCTTCTCTTCACCCAAATCAATACTTATCTCTACCTATCTAACTTCACTGAACTTTTTAATAATTATTCAAAACATTTACATAGTATCAAAATCAAGTCTTTAAAACAAAAAAACATCAGAGAAGTCTAGCTTCTACTCCAATCATTTTACTCATATCTTCCCTCCCCCTAAGATAAAATTGGTTTATTCTAATTTTTGGTTTATTCTTCTATTATTATTATTTTTTAATATAAGCACATATTTCCTTTTTCTAAGATAAAAGATAGAATTGAAAAACAAACCAACCAACAAACCCATTGCTGTCAACCCCATTCTGGTTCATAGGGTCCCTACAGGACTGAACAGAACTGTCTGACAAGGTTTCCAATACAGCCTTGGAAACCCCAGGAGCAGTCCCTACGAGTCTGATCTGACTCGATGGCAGCACATTTAGTTTGGTTTTGGAATTTTTATGGAAGCTGACTGCTACATCATTCTCTCGCAGAGGGGCTGGTGATTTTGAACTGTTGACCTTTCAGTTAGCCGCCAAGCACTTAAACCACTGTGTTCCATGGTTCTTCCAAAGGTAGAACATCACATACATTGTTTATAAGAGCCCTAGAAACTAAAACAGTGGATGCAGTGAGATCAATTAAAAAGTATTGCAGTAGCTCAGATGAAAGATGATAGCTTGGACTAGGGGAGATGGTAGTGAAATTGAGAGAAAAGGAAGGGTGAAAGAGACTTGGAGAATAAAATGGACTACTTGGTGAAGTGTTGGATATAAAGCTGGGGGATATCAAGAATGACTCCTAGGTTTCAGGATTGTGCACTTGGAGACAGAATGTCCTGGAAGAGAAGTAGGGGTTGGGTGATGATTATGTGTTAAATTTTGAATGTGTTAAAATAGAGGTACATTTGAGACTTCAGAGTGAAAGCATCAAGTAGTTAGTAGAGTATGTGTATCTGGAGTTCAGCAGAGCAGTTAGGGCCAGGGCTCCATGTTTGGGAGTTAGTTTTAGCTAGTCCTTTGATCTTTAAAACTGGCCTGAAATTTCAGATTGAATGAGTTTAGTTTCTTTTCCCAAATCTATAGCCTAACAGCTCTAGAATATAGCCCTGGGATAAAAATGACACTGAGAGAAAAGAAATGTGTCATAGAATATTGCTTTATAGTATATGAACACTTTACAGCTTATATATAATCTACAAAGTACTTTACCCATTACAAAGTATGTTACAGATTACAAAGTATTCATATTTCTGTGGTCTCAGTTCATTCTCTCAACAGTGTTGTGAGATAGCCTGGCCCCCATTCTCTCTAGCCCATCCCTTAACCCAGCTCAGCCCAGGCCTGGGCCTCCCCACACTCCCATATCCTTGACCTTGCCTCCCAAAATTCTTTCCTACCGTAGGGCCAGTGTCATTAACCACATCATGCTTGAGTCAGGGCATCTCCAGGATAATTTTGCCCACGTTCTGGTTGGCCTCCATGCGAGAGTGGGCCTTCTGGATGTCAGCCATGGCAAAGACTTTATCCACAATGGGGTGCAGCTGCACAGCACTCCCAGGGGAGAAGTGAGATAAGACTCGCTTTGTAAAAGTCCTCACCAGTGCTTCCTTATACTGAGACAGGGGAAAACAGTCCATTAAGAGGGTATGGATTTGTCACCAGGGAAGGTAGGGAGGGGAAAAGGGGGGATTATTGCTTATGGAATACTGAGTTTCTGTTATGGTGATGGAAAAATCAAATTGATTAAGGGTAGAGTTGCATAGCTGATTAATGAAATTGCTGTCAGTAATTTGTACACCTGTAAAGAGTTGAATTGGCTAAAGTTGGGTGATAGATATGTGTACAACAACAACAACAGAAAAAAGCCTGCGGAGGCTGTTTATGTACAACCACACATCTTATGTGATTTGGTTTTTTGATTTGGAGGTTTAAGGTGTGGTTTCATGGGACATCAAGTTAATTGGCCTAATTCTGGGGTTTTAAAAGTTTACAAGTGTCTATCCAAGGCACAAAATTAGTCCCTATTTGCCTGGAGCAACAAAGCAAGGAGAGTCACAAATAGGAGGAGGAAATGGAATGTGTGGCTAATTGCCTCCATGAACATCTGCTCCCTTTGCCATGAGACCAGAAGGACTGGATGGTGCCTGGCTACCATTACTGAACATTTTGATCAAAGATTCTATAGATGATTTCCAATCAAAAGGGGGAAAATGGCAAACAGAATTTCAAATTCTCATGGACTCTGGATTCTCTAGAATCATGGAGTCTGGATGAACCCCTAAAATTACTGCCCTGAGATAATCTTTTTTTTTTTTTTTTTTAAATTGTGATTTGGGTAGAAGTTTACAGAACAAATTAATTTTCCATACAGCAATTTATACACATTTTGTTTCATGCCATTGACTGCAATTTGCATAATGTTTTCAGCGATCTTCCCACTATTCCCTGTAGTTATCTCTCCCTGGTGTCCTTCTTTCCTATGCATTCCTGCCCTCTGAGCTATCTCCCTGTGCAGATATTGCCCTCCTGAACTCCCATGCTTGATTTTTCTAAGGAGCATATCTAACTGGCATAAATATTCACCCTATATGCCTGTCTATTGTTTGGCTGGAAGCCACAGGAATCAGTTCAATTCTAGACATGAAGGATAACTAGGGACCATAGTCTCAGGTGTTTCACCAGGCTATATCAGACCAGTAAGCCTGGTCTTTTTTATGATTTTGAGTTTTGTTCCACATTTTTCTCCCACTCTATCCAGGATCTCCTGCACTGATCCCTTTCCAAGTGGTTGACAGTGGTAGCCAGACATCATCTAGTTCTTCTGGTCTCATGGTCATATAGGCTGAGGTTCATGTAGTTCACTAGTCCTTTGGACTAATTATTTTTATGCATCTTTGGTTTTCTTCATTCTTCTTTGCTCCAGGTGAGGAGAGACCTGATATTATCTTTAAACCTTAGACCAAAAATATCCCCTGAAGTCTTCTGAAAACCTAACAATAGTTTAGCTTAACTTGTAAACAATGTCTGCCTTGAACATTGCACTCTTTTAAGATCTAGCTAGCTACATGGGATCAAATTGACAATAGCAACTAGAAAAATTTGATAGGAACTTTAGGGGGCAGTGAGTTTATGTTAATGGGAGAGGAACAACTCAGAAAAGGAGGATGAATATAGTTGCACAACTCACTGGGTAGAATCAGTGTCACTGAATTAAACATGTAGAAACTGTTGAATTGGTTTATGTTTTGCTGTATATATTCTCAACAGCAACACCAAAAATAAATAAATAAATTATAAAAAAAGAAAAGGTATGGGTAAGGTCCCCTTGTCCTCATGCAACTTTGATGGACCCTTAAAGTGGCAAGGGAAAAATCCAGACCATGCCTGGATGGCCCTAGTACCAGCCCAAAGAAGTCAGAGAGAGCCACAAAGGAAGAAGGAGCATCAACCAATCTAAATCCCCTTGGGCTCTGGAACCCCTGGATTCTGAAAGCATGGGAATCCCAATATCAATCTAGGAGTGGCAGAGGGGAGAAATAAGTCAGAGTCAAATGAGAAAATAGGTGAAGGGACTTAGTCATCTGATGGAGGGTAAGCCTTAGAGTCCCATCAAGAGGAGGGAAAGTTGGCAATGTCAGGAAAGAGTAATAAACAGGAATTGTATAAACCACAGCGGGTCTGGGTCAGGTGGTCATAATACAAGGGAAATGCCCAGAACTTGCTCACCTCTCCCCTGTGTGTGACCTACCTTCTTGTCCCTGGACCTCAGCAGACTGGCCTGCAGACTTCCTCGCTTACACAACAGCTTGGAAAGCAGAGGTCCATTGACTTCTGCTCCTCCCATGAGGCCATATAGAACCCATCGACCATCTGCAGCCAAACAGTGGAGGTTCTTCTCCCAGTAAGAGCCACCAATGCAGTCCAGGATCACATTGACACCCACATCTTGAAGTGAAAAGCATCAGTCATAGGTAGAAATGGCTTAGTTATCTTGGGAAAACTGATGCTTAAACTTTTACCCTCTAGAACTAGTCTTGCCCCATCTCCTGTAGACCAGGTGACCAAGTAGGAAGGAAAGTCACTCTCTGACAGACTAGGTGCACTTAGTTGTCCTAGAAAGTCAAAGAAGAAGTGGTTAAAGCATTCAGCTTTCAGAAAAGCTCAAGCTAAGAAGTTATGTCTCGTGGTGGTTCTGAACATAGACTGACTAGGCCTTGAGTACTTACTCTGGAGTGAATGCCATTGTTCTACTCTGGGAAGTTAGTATGCTTCCTCCTTTATTTTTTTAAATAATTAAAGCTATGTAATTGATCACGGCTGAGTTTTTTTGTTTGTTTGTTTTTTGTTTTGTTTCCCTTCCTTCTCTCTTTGTTTGGCAGAGACAGCCAGGAAGCTTAGAATCATACAAAATATTTTATCACAGTTATGATATTAACCTTTCTGATTAGCATATTTTCTTTCTCTTTCTTTCCTTGACTCATACTATTTATTTCTAACTAATTTTACTTTCACCCTGGGTAGCTATACCACTTACAAGCTTTTTTTTTTTTTTTTTAATTAGGATTTGGGTGAAGATTTACAGAGTAAATTCACTTTTCATACAGCAGTTCACATATACTTTGTCTCA